GCCTTTCATTGAAAAGGTAGTAAACAATCTATCATGTACACTTATGATTTTTTTAAAATTTAAAATGCTATTATAACATTAAGAATCATGATAGAAGAAACATTAGATCATCAAAATCCAATTTCTTCTGATGTAAGAAGACCGTTAAAGGTAAAAAAAGGTCATGTTTGTGGTATATGCAAAAAATGGTTTAGAAGATTATGTGATCTGCGTAGGCATGGAAGTGTACATTCCACAGAAAAACTAATACCTTGTGATCATTGCAACCTAAAATTTGCATCTAAAGAGAGATTATACCAACATTGCAAATATGTCTCACTTGAAAAAGCCTTTCAGTGCGAGTTTTGTCCTATGAACTTTAAAAATTCTTGCACTCTTAAACTTCATATGATCACTCACACTAAAGTAAAACCTTATAAATGTGAAATGTGTAATAAAAATTTTCGTCGTAAAAATGCTCTTAAATACCACTATAGTAGTAAAACGAATCTAGCGCATCATAGGAAATTCGAAGAGTTTAAACAGTTTGAATATCTAGTTAAGGATTATGAAAATGTTGCAGATGATAGTGAAGAACATATTTGTACAGTGTGTAATAGACAATTTAAAACGATATTCACTCTTAAACGCCATACTCGTAGCCATGCTAATGAAAAGTGTGAGTGTGATATATGTGGGTTAAAATTTAGTAGAAATGATTTAGTGCTCAGGCATAAACGTGCAATGCATTCTAATGAATGTAAGGTTTTTTCTTGTGAAATTTGTAACAAAGTGTTTGCTTCTGAATATTCTGTTAAGTTGCATAAAGCAGCAATCCATGAACAAGACAATTCTTTTAAATGTGAAGTTTGCCCTCGAGTGTTTTTACTCAAATCTTTGCTTGATACACATATGAGTAGTCACACTGAAAAGAAAATACATGCTTGCACAATGTGTGACAAAAGATATACATCTTTGCATTATTTGAAGTATCATATGAGAATCCATACTGGTGAACAACCATATGTGTGTGAGGTTTGCAATAAATGTTTCACTGGACATGATATACTCAAAAATCACTCTAAATGGTGTAAAAAAAATAGTAACTATTTCAGACACAAAGCAAACTGCAAAGATTAAAATTAGACTTGCATTACCTCAAAATGAAAATACAGATAGCAAAATCGGATTTATACTATCTCAAAATAAAAACCCAGATAGCAAACTAAGATTAATAGCACTTGGAAGTGAAAACTCAAGTAGTAAAGAAGGCTTGGATTTGCCTGTGCCAGAAAAAAATAAATTATTGATCAAGCTGCATCAAAAAAAAATTTAGCTTCAGGAGAAGCCTGTAGTTAAGGGAATGAAGTTTTATACTTCAAAATAAAAGTTTATAAATGAACAAAACAAAGGAAAATTTATTGTTTTAGGGTAAAATATATTTATTTAATTGAAAGAGTGTCTTTATAATTTTTATTCAAATTTGCTTTTATTTTTCATGCCTGATTGTGATAATACTATTCTTATTCAAAATCTTTAAATTATAAATAAAGTTTTATTGGTTGTTACTAAAACTTATTATTTCAGTATTTTTTAGAGCTACTAGTGCTGAAAAAATTTTAAAAATTACCAGACAAATAAGCAATTCCATTGTAAACCCTGCTTTTAATACAAAAAATTAATATTTTGTTGAAATTTTTTTATTTATATTAAATTTTATACTGTATAAAAAAATTATAATATTTACTTGTCATGTACATGAAGTATAACTGACAGCGTTCCGAATGGGATATCTGCAAGTAACATACTGTGGTTATCTCGATCCCGATTGGTTTTTGTAATGGGGCATTTGTTTTCAGTAGCGACTGTTTTTTCCATTCTATTTCTAGTAAGCCAAGCCTGTCAAGTATCTACATTCTCTTAAGTGACACATTCTACATTCTTACGCAAAGATTTCAATTATTTCACCATATATTTCTTACTCAACACAAAGACAGGATGAAGCCCTGTAGAACATAAACAAACTAATTATGCAGCAAAATTATTAAAAAAAATTATTTTAAAACTTAGAACCATTAAAAAAGTTGTTAATATCTCTCCCCTGAGAAAAGAACAACTTATAAAAATTTGAGGAGATGAGAATAATCCTAAAAAAGTGAATATTTGTAATAGTTAATCAGAAATAAACCTATAAACACAGATAATTTTACCAGTTTGTAATTATTATTTAAAAAAATTATTTTTTTTAATGGAATATGAATAAATAGGCAGTGTTTTTAAGGGATATGGAGTCTATTTTTTTTTAAAAAAGGACTAAGAGAGCATATTTATAGAGTTAAAAGGGCAGGCAGAGTGGATCGCCTTTCTAAAAATTCTTAGGTTGAAATGCAGTGTTTTTAAATGCTAAAAACAATGAAATACTTAAAAAAATAATAAGTCTGAGTTAAGTAAAAGTCGTAGAAGGGAAAAGGATTCTATTTAATAAATTCGATGTGTGATACGACTCTGTATTTAATTAACTTCACGATAATTAACATTCTAACTTATGTGGAGAAACTTAGCTCAACCTTAATATGCCATTTTACTTACAGAGCTCATTCTAGGCAGAAAAAAGGGCGGGGTGCAAAAGTTTAAAAAAGGGGCATTATTATTCTAAAAAGGTAATAAATTCTTTCTTTGGGCTTTGCATTGCACGTTCTATTAAATAACATTGTCAATTAGTAAAAGAATTTTTTTTTTAACTTTACTAAAAGTAGCAAAGCAATCATATTAATACTAATTTTTATTAATAAATTAACATATATATCGAGTTAATGAGCTAATTAGCTGAGAAAATTTATTTAAAATGCATGTATAGATTAATAAAATAATAAATGAATGTTTTTGAGTGTCTGTAGTTATGATTTAATAATTAATAATGATTATGATTTAATGATAGTGGAAGTAACTGCAAACTTTCAAAGACATGTGCAACAAGGGGGTGTGATGGCGCCCATATGTTTGAGTTTAGGTGGGGGGGGGGCTCAAGAAAGAAAACGACAAATAGCTAAATGAATTAAAAAATTAATGAAAGGAAATTTTATCTATTTATATATTTTTAATTTAATTATCTGAATAACTAATTAATTTAAATCGATTTCATTTTTAATTATACATGCCAAAATTTCATTTTGTCCTATTTCGATTGGGCTCTAGTGAAAATCTAGTGGGGGGGGCCTATGGGCGCCCATGGCTATTTTACCTTTCCCATATAAATCTAGGTATAGACAGCAATGAAAAACTAAATAAAAAGAGTTAAAAATAACAAAAGTTTAAGAAATCCATTGTAGAGTTTGGGGAAAAAATAAAGAAAAGTTAAGGAAAGAAGGGGCAAAAAGGATATGGAGTCTATTACATCAGGGCACTAATAATTTACTTCAGGGGCAACAAGTTGCTGCGCCCTGTTTATCCTGCCTAGAAGAATGAGACCTATGCCCATTAATTTCAATATCAGTTATTTTGAATTATTTCATTATAATTCCTTGCTTTTACTGTCAATTGTTTTTATAATTATGAATCTACTTTGTACCTACTACTTTGGATGTGATTCTTCCACGGAATTCCGCTTTTTTTTCTCCAGATTTTTCCATTTTTTACGCTAATTTCCACAGAAATTTTTTTTCGCACAAATTTCAATATTTTATGAGGGATTTAATTTTCTGCAGAGCCAAATTAATGAAGTCCTCATTTCTCCCTCTGAAGTTTCTCTAAAAATCATTTCCTTGGGATAAAACTGGTTGACCTTTATCAATTTTAAATATGAATGCTTGTGGATATAGTCTAACATTTATTAAATTCTGGTTGCTTCAAAATTATTGGATATGATTTCTTACTTTTAACTAGAGCTGATATCTATACTTGCTATATAACCAGTGTAATCCGAAGGCAAATTTTTATCTAATGATTTCATTTAATCATTAATTTTTTATTTCATTCAATTTCAATTATAATTTCACATTCCTCTATTAATTTTGAAGAAGTAGATTTTAAAATAAGGGAGTGATTTTTGAAACGGAAATTTCATTTGTATATATCTGCTATTTTATTACACAGATTATATTATAACTACCATAAATTATGCAAAGTAAACATACTAGAATTATTGCTTGACTATTTAACCTAAAAATATAATTTTACATTATTTCCAATTTTTTCCCTCATTGGTTATACAGGCAATTTGCAATTATATCTAAAATAAAACTAAATTTTTCTATAAAATATGTATTTATATATTATAATTAAAAAAAATTTATGCATCCCTTTTTTTTTTTTTCGAGCTAATTTTAAATTAGGGTTGGTATTTTGTCTGAAAAAAATCTATTTCATCCAAAACACTGGAAGAATGAAGAAAAACCCTGAAGATGCTAATGAAATGGAAGTAAGTGACCAAATATGATTGTTTTACAATACCTGTTTGATGAATAATTCAAATTGTAAGACAAATAAAATTTAATAAAAGAAAGTGAAATTTTTTAACCATTTTTTTTTTCAGAAATAATTATTGTAATATATATTTTAGTTTTATGCAGAATTTTAAAATCTATATAACCTAAAAAAATTTATTTTGATTTTATGTTATCCTCATTTTCCTAAATAAATGCGTATATTTGCAGATAAATTATGTGTTATTATTTTTAGTTTTCTAAATTCTGTTTAAAGATAATCTACAGAAATAATAAGTTTTTATTAAGAAATTTTATTTTGAAAATTATTACTCTGCTAAATTTGAAACTGACGAGATTTCAGACAATCAATTAGATCTTTCTTTTTATTTAAAGAAACTGATATTAAAAAAGAAAAAAATTATTTTGCGCATTAATGTTGTGAAACTTTTGCTTAGATATCTCAGGTGAGAATATTTTCGGCTAGCAAGAATATTCTCCTAAAGTAAAAATTTGAGATTTTTTTCCTTTCCTTCCCAATTACATCAACTCATCTTGATTTTCTGGAATGTTGTTTCATTCATTTTAATGCTGATTTCTTTGTTAACATTAGTTCCTCACCACTTCTCTATATTGTTGGGAAATGCATTTCACCCTGATTACCCTTTCTGTAGTAGTTTTCTGCACTGTAGTTATTCTGGCTCTGTTTTTCATTCTTTATCTCTCTCGACTACTTTGGTTTTTCTAGTTTTGTTTATCATCTTTATTTTTTCCATTTTTCGTTAGAAACTTTTTGTTTTATATTTCAAATCGCTTTTGTTTCTGTTTTTTCAGTCACATCTGGCTAGTCTTGAAAATGGATCTCTGTTTTTTAATACCCTTAAAATATGTTGACTGTTTTTTCTTATTTAAATATTTTTGAAGCAGATGAAATTTTTAATCATCTTACCACTCCAGTTTCTTGGGGTTATTTATTTAAAACAGAATGTTGTTTATTTAAGTCAAAAACATGAAATTTTTTTTAAATAATTTATATTAGAGAAAATAGACACAAAATTGAAACTAACTGGGGAAAAAAATTGTTTATTCTTTATTCTCGGAAGGTGACAAACTAATTTTATCAGTTGACATCTATCATATTCAACATCAGAATCAGATATACTTGTAAACACAACTGTGTTATTTTTGTTAAATATCATCACACAATATTAAACTATTAATGAATTTAATAGTTTAATATTGTGTGCTGTAATTGCTAACTTTCACTCCTTTCGGTGAAAAATCTATTTCTTTTAGCCAAATATATTGAGTTATAAGTACTAAAACCTTGTTCTGTTGCTGCTGTTGTTAAAGGCATAGTTAGTTCTATCTGTGCAATTTTGGCCAATTTGACAATGGTACATATTACATTCCACCAAGTTATCTATAGAGCTTCCTCTACTGACATATGTCAGTAGAGGAAGCTCTATCGATAACACATGTGTACACACATATATGTACAACACATATGTGTTGTACAGATACTGCCAATTGGTGAATGAAGTCTGATTTACTTGTTAAATTTACTCAATTAAATTTAGAATACAAAATATTAGCTGCATAGTGAATAGATTTATTTGTTTTTCTCTTTTTCACATTATCAATTATAATTTTCTCTTCACTCTTCCAAAGTGGAGCTCATGGTAAAAGTTTTTTAAAGCTTTTTTTAACAACCATACTAAAGGTCAGTTTGTCGGTCTTTTAATATTGTGATCCTTTTCTCAATAGGATTTAACATATTGTGGATTTTCAGAACACACCAGCAGAACAACATCTGTTCGAAAAATGCAGCGAAAATATATCTGCATCTGGAGGGCAAGATGTGCTGTGTTTATTTTGACACTTGCTAACTTTTGAAACAGAGTTTCAAAAGCCCATTGAAATGAGCTGTGGTGGCTTAGGGGATAGAGCGTACGCCTTTCAATGAGACCGGGTTCGAATCCCAACAATGGCTGGTCGATACGAATTCTGGACCCGGCTCGTAATGCCACTTTTGCACTTTTATCGTACTGGAGAACCTGGATGGAACATGAATCCTAAGATGCAATGTTCTCGCCCATGCATTTGCCCTTTTTTTCATTTGCGAGTGTCTCAAAAACTATTGCCCGTGGATGAGTAGTTCCATTGACATTATCGTTTCCCAAGACAAGCTCTTTACAATGCTACCACTTTAATCAAAATCCAGAACTGGCGCTTTTGGTACCTCCATAGTTAGGAATAGTAGAAGAACCACCAGGTGTGGTTTCTACTTCTTTGGTAATTCGAAAAGTGCAGGAAATCTCCTTCAGAGGTTACATTAGATTCAGCATGAAAAAAAACAAACAGATATTACTCTTACCGACTTTTTATGAACGACCTGTCTGTAAACGAGGCGACCTGTATTGTAGTAATTAACTATTGCTCTCTTTAATAACTATTTGGCATGTTCCAATAAATGTATTTGTAATTTTATTTATTTTCTTGAACCATTTATATTTAATTTCTTGCAAAAATCTTTTACAAGAAGTCTTTTAACCACATATTGATCTGCCACAAGACATATAGCGTTTATTTTATGCGCAAAAGCGTGAAATAAGAGGTACATTGAAANTCACCCCCAGGAACCATTAAGATTGACACTTAAATCGTGAAAATCCGATCATAAGAACAAAAGTTATTCAGGGTGATATCTTTTTTTTTTTGCCGACTGTACATTGAAAAGAGAAAGAAAAATGTAAATTCACTGTAATTTAGTGAACAAACAACTAATATTTAAAATTAAATTCCATGTCTTCAAGGAACTTAAATCCATTCTATTGCATTTCTGACATACTATAAAACAAATACGTGTCACATTTTAGAAAATTTTTATTTCTTTTTTAAATATGTGTTTAAAAGACTTCTTGTAAAAGATTATTGATAAAAATTAAATTTGATTTATGTAGACATATGTCTTCGGACAATCCCCAGGGATGTCAAAATTGTGATGGAATATGCCATCGCAATTTTGATCATATGTGGTTCTGTTAAGCGGTGGCTCCCTTGCTTTCAAATAGTTATTAAAGATAGTAATAATTATAATTAATAAAAACTTTATATTATATTTAAATTATAACTTTATAATTGAAATTTCCTTTTGCTGAAATTGTAATATAACAGCAGATGTTTGATATAAGAACGGAAAAGAAAAAGCTATTTATTTAAATTATTTAGCGCAAATATATTAAAATATATATTTATGATCATCAAGAAATTATTTTCAATTGGAATTTTGTGTTGATAAAACTTGAAAATAGTAAGATAGAAAGAGTCTGTTAGATGAAAGTTTGATCATTTATAAAGAGTCGTTAGGTGGAAAGTGTTTATAAATATACAATCCGGTTAAAAGTTTAGACACACTCTTGAGTTTTTAAAAATGAAGAAATAACTAAGTTCTTATATTGAAAATCACAACTAATTAACTTTATTTTGATAATTATAGGTACACTTATGCGCTAAGAACTATAATTTTATGAATTTCGTCCAATCTTATATTTTTCGAAATATCCTTTAGCCTTAATCAAAGCAGCACATATTTTTAGCATTCTTTCTATTAGTTTTTGCAATGTTCTAGTTGAAATCTGGTTCCAGCAACTAAATAAAGATTTCCTAAGTTTGTTTTGATTGGTACATCGCATTTTTCTAGTATTTCAATCGAGTGAATCCCACAATATATATTGGGATTGAGGGAGCCATGTATGGGAAAGCGTAACGCTGCAATATTCTGTGTGTGACAATATTTTTTATCCGTAATTCTCTCTATTCTTACAAGATCTCCAACTTTGTCAGTGGAAAAACTCCCCAAACCATGACTGAACTTCTATAATGCTTCCTAGTTAGTAGTAAACATTGATTTATCATGCGTTCACCAGCTAAACGTCGAACATACTGCCTTCATTTGCTTCCAAGTAACTCAAATTTTGATTCCTCGATCAGTAAACGAAACGTTTGACTACCGTCTTAAAGACTGGTTTACATGTTTATTTTATATCATTTCAGTCGTTTAACTATGTTTTTTTAAAGAGGTTTTCTCGGAGCTGCACAAACTTTCAAACCATAGTCACGAAGTCGACTTTCTACAGTAGTTACTGACAAGGTTTTCTGCTGCTGTTTCAGTCCGATGCCGCTAACTTTAAATGCAGATAAACTTATCCTCACTTTTGGATGTTATCCTAGGTCTCCCTGATCGCTGGCGGTTCTTATTTTGACCAGTTTCTTTCTTCCTTTGCAAAGCTCTGGTCTGGAAAATATTAGTTTTAGAGGCGATTTGTCTACCTGAATAGCCCTCTCTATGAAGTGCAATAATAACTACACCTATTTCTGGTTTTTGACCCATATTTCTGTAACAAATTGTACAAAATAATGTTAACTTTTGTTTTTTATATGTACCAGTTATTCTGTCAAATGAAACCTATTATATCAATATTTTAAATGTGTTATGAACTTAACTTATGAGAAACCTTACAAGAGAAGATTAAAAGTAAATTGTTTATAGACTAAAAATTATTAAAATTTTTTTTTAATAAATTATACTATTTTAAAATAGATATTTACATGCACTTTCGTTCATTTCGTAATCAACTACAGAATAGAATAATACTACGTATAAAACGAAAAAATAATTAACAGTTTTAAATGGAAACAACGTTTTGCGAAGTTTATGTTTGATGTATGATAAGTCAGAAATATTTAACTATTTTTGAAATAAATACAAGTGAGACTAAACTTTTGATCGGTACTGTATATAATCTAATAACCACCGAAGGAAATTTCCCTAGCTTTTAACGTTATGTGAAAGCACGGGTAACCTCATTATCTCTAACTATAGTGTTTTATAAGGTAGCAAACGAAGTTAAGAAAAACAGTGGCAAACACTGAGAGCTTTTCAGCAAACCTAGATGTCATTTTATCGAGCCCACGTGAAAAAGATAAAGATTTTTATATTTCAGAATATAAATTTTCTGAATTCAGAAGATTTCTATTTGAACTCAAAACTGCATTAACATAATTGGCGATTGAAATGGGCTATAGATGGCGTAGAGCAGAACCTTCTACCTATGGCAACACTTCGCAGGCTTTCACCATTATCATAGGAGAAGAAAGTACCTTTAGTTTTTTTTTTTTGATTTTCAAATAGAGTAAAATCTCTTAAGTTAGGAAACTATACGGAACTGAAAACTGCATTGAATATTGTTCTAAAAGAAAGAATCATGGAAATTCTTTAAATGAAAAAGCATTTTTTACAATTAAATATGAAAAATATTAAAAGGAAAAATATCGTAGTTCATTCCTATACAACTGAAAAGAGGAAGGAGCAATGTCAACACTTCTCCCCAGATGGTTGTTGTTGTTATTGTTGTTAATTTACGTCGCACTAGAGCTGCACAATGGGCTATTGGCGACGGTCTGGGAAACATCCCGGAGGATGATCAACGACGTCTCAATATACCTCAAAACAACCTTAATACCTCAAAAATACCTCAAATCAACCTTAAATATACCTTAAATTTTCATACGGGACTTTACGGTAGCACAGTTTAACGAGGACCAATACCGCACACCCTCGGTCCCTACGCAGACTTATCCAAGTGGTCACCCACCCGCACACTGACCGTAGCCAGTGGTGCTTGACTTCGGTGATCTGCTGGGAACCGTGTCTTAACGATCAGTCCACTGCGGTACTCTCCCCAGATGGAAAAGACCGGTTGTGTAAATTTTAAATTTAAAAAAAAGTGAGAAAGAGGAAGGTTCTGGACATGAAGCAAGTGTGTACGGNCGCAGCCAGTGATGCTTGACTTCGGTGATCTGCTGGGAACCGTGTCTTAACGATCAGTCCATTGCGGGACTCTCCCCAGATGGAAAAGACCGGTTGTGTAAATTTTAAATTTAAAAAAAAAGTGAGAAAGAGGAAGGTTCTGGACATGAAGCAAGTGTGTACGGGATCATTTAGTGGGTAAATTTATTACGCAAATCATGTTCTTGCTCGCAATTTCGAATTAGTATACACAAAAACTTTTCGCATGCAATGTGATTGGCCCTTTTGAATATTGCCCAAATCTCATTTAAGGACTATTCCCGCTTAATCATGCGCCATTGATCTATTTCAACGAAATGTGAAAATCTGATTGGTGATATATATTTTATGGTGAAGAACTTACCAATCAGGTTTTTTTCCTCTTGACTGCAATCGGAGGTGAGGACAAGGCTGAACCGGATCAGTAAATTAAAGTATTGCGCCAACGGTTACAACAAGTTAAGCCGTTGTTTTCATTCAACCATTCTAGGACGGGACAGAAATAGGTTGTAAACAACGGCTCTTGTTTTACATATTTTAATGTTATTAAATTAAAAATTAGCTTTAAAACATTACGGATGGAAGCAAAGAAAATAGTGGAGCCTCAAAATCCGTGTCCTCCAAATGCGGAAATACCGTTTAAAGGCCACGTTTGTGGAATATGCCAGAAATGGTTTCAAAGATCAAGTGATCTTCGTAAACATGGAAGTGTACATTCCAATGAAAAACCTATTTCTTGTGATCATTGCAACATGAAATTTGCATCTAAAGATAGATTATACAAACATCGTAAATATTCCTCCCTAGAAAAGGTTTTTCAATGTGAGTTTTGCCCAATGAGCTTTAAAATGTTTTCTAATCTTAAACTTCATATGATTACTCACACTGACGAGAGACCTTATAAGTGTGAAATGTGTAATAAGAATTTTCGTCGTAAGGGTGGGCTTGAATATCATTATAGCTGTCAATCATATCTAGCTCACCATAAAAAATTTGATGAATTTAAACAATTTGAATATTTAATCGAGAAATATAAATCTAGAAATGGTGATGATGGTGCTGTGCATATTTGTACAGTCTGTAAAAAGGAATTTAAGTCAGCAAGATGCCTCGAACGCCATTCTGTTGTTCATGCTCAGAAGTGGTTTGAATGTGACATATGTGGAATACATTCTAAAAGAAAAGAATACATATCTAAGCATAAACGCACAGTCCACTCTACTAGTAAAGAGCTTTTTCCTTGTGATATTTGCAAGAAAAAATTTTCTACCAAATATTCTGTCAAGATACATAAAGCTGCTATCCACGAAGAATACAGGTCATTTCAATGTGACATTTGTCCTCGATCTTTTCTTAACAAATCTACATTAGTTGCACATATGGCTGTCCACAGTGGATTGAAAAAATTTGCTTGTACTATGTGTGACAAAAAGTATGCAACATTGTCTAACTTAAAGTATCACATAAGAGGGCACACGGGGGAAAAACCTTATATGTGTGAAGGTTGTAATACACGTTTTAAATCAGGGGAAATGCTAAAACGTCACTCTAAAAGGTGTGAAAAAATTAAAGCTATTTTACTTACAGAACACAATACAGATAGCAAAATGGGACTTGAATTGTCCGAAAATCAAAACACAGATTGCAAAATAAAAATAGTCAAAGTGCCTGAAAAAAATATAGCCGAAGAAACTGTGGATCAAGCAACATATAAAAGTCTCGAAGCACCAAAAAATGCACTTAGTAAAAGGGATAAAGTTTTTTCATCTCAAAATATAAAGTTTATAAAAGTTCAGAATACAGCAGAACTGGACATATTGAGATTAACAAGATTATTTCAGAGATACAGGTGTCTTTCAAATGTTTATTCCAAGTAACTTTAGTGTTTATTATATCCAATTGTGATGTAGTGGCTCATGGGGAAACTATTGTTGTTCTACTGACAATAAGACAATTGTTATGATCATTACTATAACTTTATATTTTAATTTTATTTGTAGCTACTTATGCTTACCAGATTTTAAAAAAAAAAACAGATTTAATCTGTGGTAATTTACTGAAAAACAATTAGTATAAATTGTAAGCATACATGAAAGTAAAATTTTTATTATCTATCAAACACTGAGGTGTGAAAAGACTAAAACATCTTATTGTCTAGTGCATAACGCAAAATTACCATCATTCTCGTATCTATAACCTTTAAATAATTTTTTTTATTAATATTAATACCAATGATAACTGTTGATTTAATTATGAACTACCATATTATCAAATTAATCTATTAACCTTTTTATCTGGTAAAAAGTTAAATTAATTTAATTGAACATATTGCTTGTTATGTGTTTCATTATAAATTGTTTGTATCAGTAATCATTATGTATTATATTATGATTCCATGATCAGCGTCTCTGAGATAATTGGTCACTGTGAATCCTAACTTACTTTTACTATTCAATAATTTCAAGTAATTTATTGTGACATTTGGTAAATTGAGACACTTTATGTACAGAAAGTTAAAAAAATATTTCTTTAAGTCGATAAACTTTTCTCTAATAAAAAATCTTTTACAGCTGCCAAAGATGAATACTTATCAAATTTAAAATAGTAAATATAACGTAAAATTTATTTAAAGTGGTTACAGAAGAGACAAACAGCAGAGATGTTATGATTAGGACTGGGTATCGAGTATCGATGTATCGAGACATATCGATTTAACGCTTATATCGGCAAGACGATACAGCGGCTTTCATTCAAGGCGATGCATCAGAAATCTGATTTAAGCCGTCAAATAAAGACAGCGAGCGCAATACGATATAGCGATATAAGACACGCAAGGAAAGAAGAATTCAGTAAAATCAGAACTTCATTTAGTAACTTGAATTTTTCCCAGTATAATATAAGCTCATAATGCTTGCCCATATCTTATCAGTTTTTAAAATTATTATTTATAGGTAGGTAGGTACTTTATATATGTTGCCTTAGAGCTGCACGATGGACTATTGGCAACAGTATGGGAAACATCCCTGAGGATGATCCGAAGACACGCCATAGCAATTTTGATCATCTGCCGAGGGGATGGCTCCTCCGCTTTGCTAGCCTGACGACTTGCATACAAAGTCGAACACTTAACGGTAAAGCAGTTTAACAAGGACCGATATCACCCACTCTCGCTCCCTAAACAGGCTGATCAAAGTGGTCACCCACCCACTTGCTAACCGCAACCAGTTATGCTGAACTTCAGTGTTCTTCTGGGTGTTCTCTGTCTGTACGGTCAGTTCACTGAAAGACTAATATTTATAGATTTTTCTTTTAAATATTTATTGAGGAAAAAAGCAGTATAATATCTATTGTATTTCTAACTTGTTCAAGTTTCCTTAATGTTCATAAATGCTAAAATTTATTATTGAAAAGAGCTGGCCAGATTAGCTAACTGCAAATTCAATGGTTGTATGTCTCTCTTTCTCTGTTTCTACTCTGTTGAGTGAATGTGACCCACTCCATGAATCTTCGGCATGAGTCTACCAGGTTTTGTAAATGAACAATGCTTTTGAGGCAAAGAACATAGTTGTTTAGTGCTCACTATTAAAAAAAAATTATTTGAAAGAAAGAAGTTTAATCTTATATTGCAGTTTTTTATAACAAAAAGAAGTCCCTTAGAAAGATAAAGCTATAGTTTGTCTATGGTAAAAACTTCCCCCACCACTGAGTCTAAGGCCGTCTACTGCTATGAAAACAAGAATAGTGCATTTCAGGGAGAGTAGCTTCTCTTCACTCTAGGGTTAACGCAATAGACTGGGAAAAAATATTCCCTCTCTCTCGCCGACCGGAGCCAAAACTTGTCTCAAATAGAATTCTACACCTCTACTTGAAATAGTTATATCTTGTTACCATAGTTACCGCCACGGGTTTGGATGAATGACTAGGGGAGTTCTTACTTTAGACAAACTCTTTTTAAGGGTTTCAGCATTTGTTTACAGACAAGAACATGCATAGGATCTTAGTTACCTATTCATTTCATTTTCAAATTTTTTGTGCAGAAGTTTTGAAAGTAATAAAAATTATCGATGATAAATTAAATTATTTGTAACAATAATAAGCATTGTTACGCCTACAAATATATTGCAAGTATAATTGTGATAGTATAAAAGCAGAGCTCAATATTAACATTAAATCGGGACCCCCATTAAATAATCATCAGTCGTCCCTTTAGAAAGCAAAGTATGCTGCTTTATTTTTTGGTTTTGAATTGGTATGCTTGATCACAGTTGTGACATTACATCTGTGTATTGTAATTTCTTGTTTAAATTCACTTTATTAACTATTAAAAAAAATGAATACACCTAAGTACACACACCACAAAATGTGTACTGACTAGTAATATAGATCACTGACTAAATTTTCTTAATTTCTAACTATAAAAAAAATCTTAAAACATTAAATATCACAAATTTTTCTAATTTTAAGATTTAGCAGTTTAGTGAATAGACTTGTGGATTAAAAAGATTTTTGACAGCCCTGGTTGATCAAATAATCTTCCCTTCGTGCGACCATGCTCCTGGTAACAAGCAACATAGATTTGTGTTGAAAAATTTATTATTTTATAATTTCTAAATGATCATTTATTGATATATCAAATTTTTTTGAATAATTTAGAAATATTTGTATATTTAAGTTTTAAAAAATTGATATACAATTTTTTTTCTGTGTTCCATAATTTGTATTTTTTATACTTTTTTAGCTATTTTATTTTTTGTCCTTCTTCATATTTCATAGTGCTGACTCAGGTTTTGTGAGCTGTTTAACAATGTGCTAGCATTTTTGATAATCTGTATAATCATGTAGAGATAATTGTCTTATGTGAATGCTATTTTATTAATATTAAAAAATATAAATTCGGCAAATGTGTAATAAGCAATACTTTTACCATACATTTGCAAAAATAAAAAAATACTTAGTAAGCTTTTTAACTAAAATGAATGAGTTATTCAAGAACTGCACATTTTTTTATTGGTTAGATTAGCAAAGATTTAAAAAAAAAAAAATTGTACTGATATTAGACTGCTGTAAAAAAAGTGCATCACTAATGAGTCTGGAAAACTAACATAAAAAATTTGAACTTGTTAAATTTTCAATAATGAAAATGTTTTGCTCTGTGAAAGAATTCTGCATAAAAATGTCACAGGATTATAGTTTATAGAAATGATTGGAGTATTATTGTGTATATTTTAAATTTTTTTCATCTGATTTCTTGTAAAAAATATGTAAATTGTTTCCCAGGGGTCTACTAAAACAAAATAAATACCAGGTTCTTCCTCTACTGAATTAACTATTGATTAGTATTCCCTAAGAGAGGGCTTAGACATACGTCTTCGGCATGAGAATCTAATATATTGTGCTTTGACAGCAGGTTTTTTCAGGGATCGAAACTATTCTTTTGGCCTTAGAGCCACAAGTATGAGATTTAAGGTAGTTGACACATTTTGAATTTTCATTTTTGTACTTTGAGTATTGTTTTTATGCTTTTCTTTCTTCCCCGTCCTAAATGATGAGTAATAATTAAACTAGTAAACAGTGTTTAATTAATACAAAAAATTGAAACTCTGTATTGAACATTGTTCTTAAAGAAAGAATCATGGAAATTTAAAAAAAAAAAAAACATTTTTTACAATTAAATTTGAAAAATATTGGGAAAAGGAAAAATATCGTAGTACATTCCTATACAACTGAAAAGAGGAAGGGGCAAGGGCAACACTTCTCCCCAGATGGAGAAGACGGGTTGTGTAAATTTTAAATTAATCAAAAAGTGAGAAAGAGGAAGGTTCTAGACATGGAGCAGGTGTGTACGGGATCATTTATACTTTGTGCTTATGAGCTGCGAAGGGGTCAGATTTTAGTGGGTAAATTTAATTTAAAATCATGTTCTTGTTCGCAACTCCGACGCATACACAAAAACTTTTCGCATGCAATGTGATTGGCCCTTTGGAATACTGTCTAAATCTCATTTAAGGGCTATTCCCACTTAATCATGCGTCATTGATCTACTTCAATGAAATGTGAGAACCTGATTGGTGATATAGATTCTATGGTGAAGGATTGGGTATAATATGAAAAAAGCACAACTACTTCCACTTTCTAGGAATAACATTTACCTTTCAGTTTAATTAATAAACTGAGTTTTAAATATGCTTACTAAATTCATAAACTTCGGTAAAACAACAATATAAATTATTTCCAAAGGAACTAGACTAATACAATTCCAACCTGGCGAGTAGCGACTTATAACAAGACACTTCGTTTGATGCTTTTAC